GAAAGTGGGGGGAGAGGCAGGCAGTGGGGGCGGGCAGAGGAGAAGGAAGGAGTTCACTCTGCAGCCACCTCTAGTTATCTCTCAGACACTGAGAAAGCAGGGGCACACAGGGGGGCCTGGGCTGGGCAGACCGTCCCAGGGGAGCTCAGCTTCGAACGGTCCTGTGCACTGGGTGGGGGTGGGGTAAGGGCACCCCAGCAGCAGGGCAAAGCTTGGGTGCCCCAGAGGACCCTCCTGTCTGCACCCTCAGGTTCTGCTCACAGTTGGGGGTGGGCCTCACATCCCATCTGTGCCTCATTCAGACTGGAGGACTCTGTGATCTGCGAGGAAGTATGTTCTGCCTTGGGCAGCAGGGCTGAGATGGTCCTGAGTCGGCACTCAGCCTGGCCACTCACCCCATCTTGTCAGGATGTGGGCCAGGGCCACGTAGATCTTGGAGAGGACAAGGATAAAGACCAGGTTCACCACGGAGCCTGTGAGGCTGGCAATGCGAGAAGCCTGGTGACAGGTGGTGGATCAGAGCTGGCGCTGGGGGTGGTTTTTGGCACATGACCACCACTGCCACCTATGGGTGACCGAGTGCGTGAGCCCCCATGCCTAGGCCTGGGACTCCAGCGCCCTCAGGCCACAGCCCCCACTTATAGGCCTGGCTGTGATCCGTGCTTCTTCCAGTGGGTGGTTGGAGGGACAGGGAGGCAGGATGGGGGGCTGGGGAGGGAGGGGGCTGGGAAGCCATTTAGAATTACAGGTGGGCGATATCTGGGTGTCAAGGGAGCCACTGTGCGTTGTTCTTGGTCCCAAGTGCTGAGAATCAACCATCCGGCCCCCCACCCTGCTCTCCCACCGATCAAAACTTGGGAATTCCTGCCATCTTGGAAGGGGAGGGAAAGGGAGGGTCATGCTAGGGAGCCCCTTTGGCTGGAGGAACCCCCTGCCGGGATCCCCCCATGCTTGAAAGATGCCCCAAGCCCACATCTGTGGGGAAACATTCTGGGAGTCCCTGCCCACACACACTCACGTCTTACAACCCAGACCCCCTGCCCTGGTCCCAGAGCTTGGCCCCTTCTCTGGAGCCCAGGCACAGGAGGGCCTTTCTGCAGCAGCAAGTGTCTCCCGGGTCCCAGGAGTACGGGGGACAACAGCTGCCCCCAGCAGCTCAGGAGGAAGGGGTGTGAAGGGAGGGAGGATGGCAGGACCCTCACCATCATCAGCACCAGCACGGAGCCGGCCAGCACGCGGCGCATACGGCTCCTCTTGGGGAAGTAGGGCTCCTCCTCGCCGGTGATGGGGTTCAGGGCTGTCGTGGGGGCCGAGGCGGCAAACTGGGGCCTCGGCCTCTCCTGGAAGGAAGCCATTGCTTAGTGGCGGCCTCGTGGGCAGCGGCCACGGTCTGGGGACCGACCCACCTCGATGTCCTCATAATCGAAGCAGCCCCAGCGGTAGGCCAGCGTGGCGCTCTTGCGTTTCCAGTACTCCAGGAGCAGCACCGCCCACAGGGCCATGAACACGCTGAAGAAGACGGTGCCGCCATGGTCGAAGAGCCGGCCGGCCTGCGGGCGGGGCGCGTGGTTCACACTCGCTTGGACTGCTGGCCCCTCTGGGCCTCAGTTTCTCCCTCGAGCAGCGCATCGTATTGTGCAAGCAGGCGACTCATTCCCCGGCATGGGGCAGCAGATAGCGGGATGTTACCCCAGGGTGGCCACACCCGAGTCTCCCCCATAACGACTTAGGTGATGTAGGTGAGATTCTGGACTTTTTGAGCTGTTGATATTTGGGAGATTTTTGGACTTGAGGTTAGAACTTTGGGGATGTTGGGTTGGAGTGACTGTATTTTTCATGAACCTGATGTTTTGGGGGCCAGAGGGTGGACTGTAGTGGATTAGATTGTGGCCCCCACCTGGAAGGTAAGCTTATTTGGAACAAGGGCCTTTGTGTGTGTAATTAAGGTGGGGGGTCTCTACATGAAAGTACCCCGGTTTAGGGGCCCCTGAGCCCAGTGACAAATCCTTGTGACAGGAGAGAAGGGGGATAGGCACAGGTGCCCAGAGGGAAAGGCCACGTGAACACAGAGGCAGAAGTTGGGGTGGTGCAGCCACCAGAAGTAAGAGCAAGGCAGGGAACAGGCCAGGGGAAGTCAGTCTTGCTAACACCAGGAGTTTGGACTTCTGGCCTCTGAGCTGTGGGAAAGTAATTCCTATTGTTTCAAGAACAGGAATGCGTTAGAGCAGCCCTAGGAAACGGTACAGACGAATGCCAGGAGTGTGTCAAAGGTGTGTCTGGTCTGGGCCCCAACAATGCACCAAGAGCTCCAAGCCCGGTGTGTGGGGGCTGCAGGTGAGGCCACAAAAAAAAAGCTAACACCCCACAGAGTGCTGGGCGGCTGTGGGGGCCCACCGGGCCCAAGGCCTCCGAGGAGCTACCTGCCCCCACCTCTTAAGCTGGGACTCAACTGTGCCTGCTTTGGGGGGGTCCTCTGGTTCCTCTTGGTCAGTTACAGACAATAACAGCAATAAGAGTAAGGGCCCACCGCTGGGCACCAACTGGTGGAGGCACTCCGCCAAGGGGCTCACCAGTCCCAACCCCATGCCAGGTGCAGACATCACCACAGAGCTGGGGTCACAGAGGGGGCAGGACCAGGACCCAGGGAGCTGCCTTCCTCCCTTTGCCCACCCTTCCTCATACCTGGACCAGGGCGCAGGCGCTGGAGAGCAGCCAGAAGGGGCAGTTGAGGCAAAGTGGGCACATCTGGAAGCTATCCGCACTGCTGCACAGCTCCTGCCTTCAGAGTGGAAGGGGGTGCTGGAGCATGGGGACCCCTTCCCACCTGGTCTGCCCCTTGTCCTCTCCCTCCAGCCACTACCCTTGCCAGGCCCAGCATTTCTTTAAAATATATGCAATGATAATTTTTGAGATAACTCTTTGAAATTTCAGCTCCATAATAAAGTAAAATTCAAGCCCTGTCTTTTGTTTATTAAAAGAAAAGCTTACACTATTCCAAGAAACAAGGGTACCAATACAATTAGTCTGGGAGCACACCTGTCCACCTGTGTCAGTCTGGAAACACACTGTCCACCTGTGTCATTCTGGAAACACACCTGTCCACCTGTGTCATCCTGGAAACACACCTGTCCACCTGTGTCATTCTGGAAACACACCTGTCCACCTGTGTCATTCTGGAAACACACTGCCCACCTGTGTCAGTCTGGAAACACACTGTCCACCTGTGTCATTCTGGAAACACACTGTCCACCTGTGTCAGTCTGGAAACACACCTGTCCACCTGTGTCATCCTGGAAACACACCTGTCCACCTGTGTCATTCTGGAAACACACCTGTCCACCTGTGTCAGTCTGGAGCACACATATCAGTGTGGGAACACACCTGTTCACCTGTGTCAGTCTGAGGTCACACCTGTCCGATGGTCAGTCCTGGAGCACCCCTATCTACCAGTCATTCTTCCAGCCAGATCCATGGGCCCTCTGACATCCAGGAAGGTGGGAGGTGCTCATGTTCACCTCCATCCCCAGCTCTGCACAGGGTCTGGCAGGTGGGGGTCCCCCTTCCACCCTCCCCGGAGACACAGGGTGAGGCCTGGGAGCTGAGGGGAGAGGGCACTTACGTGGGTGTGTCTGAGAACACCATGAAACAGCCCACCAGGAATACCAGCGTGCCCACCACGGCCGCTGGCAGGAGCCAGCCTGTGTAGAACCCTGCAGAGGGGAGCCAGGTAGGGGCCCCAGGAGCCAGCTGTCAGCAACCATGATGGGTCTGTGCACCCAGCGCTGGGCTGAGTGCCGGGTGGGGGTCTGCACAGACACAGTTGTCCCCAAGAGACCCACCTCCAACCTGCAGGGTTTGGGGCCATCTGGGAGGCAGTCATGAGGGGGACAGTCCTCAGAGGTTCCCCCTGGCAGCCCCTTTGTCCTAGCCTCGGTCCTGAGCTCTGCAGCCCCCACCACATGACCAAGGCCTCATGGGCCAGGTCTGGTGGCTGGAGTGGGGAGGCCCACCTGCAGGAGGGGGTTCCCAGCCTCTCACTGGGGTCTTAAGACGCCCTGGGCCAGTGGCTGTGTTGGCCTAGGAGGGATCAGCACGCTGGCAGCCCAGCCCCTGTGCTCGCTCCCCTCTTGGAGACTATTACCCTGAAGACTAAAGTCGGGGGCCCAGGAGGCCCCAAGGGGCAGTGGGTGGGACTTACCCAGCCAGGCGAAGTAGAGGGCCACCTTCTCCCCAAAGTACCTGCGCACGTGGTCCAGAGGCTGGTACCTGTGCCACTTGCGCCAGCGGGCCCAGTACTGGAACAGGACCTGCCGCTGGTTGAGGCCAGGGGCCCACGGGCCCTCAGGGGGTGTTGTGAAGGGGCCCTGGGGATGAGAGGCCAGTGGGTGGGACCCAGGCTGGTCTGGGCATCCTACCAGGCCCTATTCTAAGTGTAGGCCTTCAGCGCTGGGCAAGGCCACGTGCCTGGTGTCCTGGACGCAGGGTTGCTGCTCGAGGACGACAGTTATGTTTGGGTCCCGGGGGCATCTAGGAAGGCCTCTCCGGGAGAGGCATCTGAGCTGGGCACCTCAGCCTCCCGGGGGTCCCGGGGTCTGCGTCCAGGAGGAGCTGCGGCTGTGGTCCAGGATGGATTGGCATCTCTGGGTGGGCTTCTGCAGCCTGGGGCTCTGCTATCCCCCGAGCACCGGGCAAGTGAGGCTGGCTGTGCCAGGCGCTGTGCGTCCTGTGCTCTGGCCAGAGGTGGGAAGAGGACGCCCCACAGACAAAGTGGAGCTGGCCATTCCGCTGCATGTCCTCAGGTGGCCCCTCGGTACCTCACATAGCAGCTGCAGGCCTGACCCTGCCCTCCACCCTGCTGCCCCTTCCTGCAGCTCTGAATTCGGTGGGCAGCTGCGGGTGTGAGGGGCATAAACAGCCTCCAGGCCTCGGTGGACATTTTGTCAGGATGATGGTGAGCGCCCCTCCCCTGTTCAGTTTACTCAGATTTGGGGAGCACAGGGGACCTCACTGTCTCCCCTACGAAGATGAAGCTGTTGGGCCTCTCGTGTGCTGAGGGCAGTGCCTGGCTGCCCAGGACCTTGAACAGCAGCAGGGCCTGGTCACATTACAGGCTTCCTGTCTGGCTACAGCTGACCCAACAGGTGACAGCAAGACCCCCTCATCTAGGAACTCAGTCCATGCCTGGGTCCGAGACCCCCACCACTGCCTCTCCAGCCCCCAGGTCTCACCTCGTGCAGGGGGAAGGCCGCCTTGAAGACGCCCTGGGACAGCAGCTGGTCGATCCCAAACAGACCTTTCTTCTCATGGCCGTACAGGGTCTTGGCCAGGATCTCAAACAGCTGGGGGTGGTGGGGTGGGGAAGGGACTGGTCACCTGTCATGTGATGGCAGGGTAGGGACATCCTGGCCCTCCCATCTTGGGGCTGAGCCCACGGACAGCCTCCCACAGCCTCTGGTAACGAAGAGAACACTTTGTGCGCCCTGACCTTCCTCCTGTCCTCGGCTCATGCACCCCACACCCCTGAGGTGGGACGGTTATTCTCCACTGTACAATCACAAGACCTGGGCCAGATTGTGGGCGCACGGGAGTCGGGCTTGGATTTGACCCCGGGTCCTGGCTGTGCACAGCCAGCCCTGGACCTTGCCCTGGGCAGGGCCAGCCTCCAGCTGGACGGCTGTGTTGGGCGTGGGCTCTGCCCCTTTGGTGGCCAGCAGGAGGTGGCCTAGGCAGGCCTGTCCAAAGCCTCTTCCTGTCACAGACCCTGGAGTGGCTGGCTCAGCCCACCATTCTCAGGCACGATTCTTCCTCACTGACCAGCAGGACCCACATCCACAGTAGCCGTGGCTGTCTGTCCCACGAGTGCATAACCAGATATCCATCCTGAGCCCTGGGGGCTCCCGTGGGGGCACTGAGCAGGGCCCCAACTGAGTTCAATGAGGGGACACCCCTAAGTCTCCAGCCCCCAGCCCTGGCCTCAGTGCTCCGATCACAGGAGAGCTTTCCCATGTGCCGACCTCAGGCTCCTTTGAGCCAGGTCAGGGTGTGGGGACTGCAGTGGGGCCGCCCACTCACGATCTGGTGCCTGTTGGTGCAGGTGAAGAAGGTGTCCTGGTCGTCACTCCTGAGGAACCTGTGGGCATGTGGAAAGTGCAGAAGAGCCCACAAAGGCAGGGACACACACACACACACACACACACACACACACACACACACACTGACCACACTCATGCTTTCTCCTCGCACACTGGAGAACAGCCACCATCCCCTTTCCACCCCCACCCCACGCTCCACCCCCCACGCAGGATCAAGTCCCGTTTTTGTCTTTTCCTTCCTGGAGGCAGGAGGTCACAGAACATTGTCCAGAAGTCATAGACATCCTCCATCCGGGACAGTGGCTGGCAGAGGGCAGGGCAGTGTGGAAGCCCCAGGGTCACCAGGGAGCCCGTGGCTTCCATGTGCATTGGAGCACCAAACATAGGTGTGCCATGTGACACACACACACAGGAGAGGTGCCACCAGCAGCCAGTGAGGACTGACCATGACCATCTTCTGCCTCGTTTGTGAGAGGAGGGCCTCCAGCCACCTGGGCCTGGGAGACCCTGCCACCCACCGTGGACATGTCATTGAGTAGGAAATGGGCCATGTGGCCAGCAACTGAGGTTTGGGGAATGTTTGTCCGCAGCACAAGCTGCCTGTCCTGACTGAAGTGGACGTGCACAGAAACTTGCCCACCTGCCACTCACACTCCCTGGTTAAAAAGCTCCAGGAAGGAGAAGGTTCTGGAGGTTTAGATCTGTCACTCGTTGACCTCTCATGCACGCATCCCTGGCTGTGTGCCCCAGCCCTGGGCACCCTCTGAAGCTGTCCTGCGGGCACAGCAGGGCCACTGTCTCTCACCTCGACAGCTTGCTCACTTTGAACTGGCAGGAGTAACACTCGGGGGGCACATCGGGCACGTCCTCCAGCAGGACATTGGGGATGCCCAGCCACTGCAGCAGGCTGGCCGACCAGTTGCAGGCCTGGTTGGGCAGCTCCTGGAAAGGATCATCACTTGTTCCTCCCACCCCTGAGCACGATGCCACGCGGCGGGGTGAGGTGTGTAGATTTGCAAACTGAGCAACAGCGAAAGGGCTCAGCCAGGGAACGGGTAAGCCCCTTCCTGTCTCGGTCCTGGATGCTAGGGGGCTCAGCTGGTCCAGCTGAGGCCCAGATTTCATGGTAGGGAGGTTCAGACGGTCACATGTCCCTTTGTCTACAAAATGCCATTATGCTCAAAGGGAGCCAGAGTAGGGGGCAGAGCAGCCCCCAGGCACAGTCACCGCTGCCTCTTCACACTGTATCCCCAGGCTACCCCTCCCCCTCCTGCAGTGGTCCTCAATGGGCAGCCTGGTGGCGGTCGGGAGCTGGAGGGCCCAGGTGGTTAGACTAAGCCATGGTTGCTGCACACACTGCCCATACCTCCCTACCTCCCCAGAGCAGCCATGGTTGTGGGGTATGACCACCCCACCTGTCTGCCTAATAAGGCTTCCTGGAGAACAGTGATGGCCGCTAGGAGGGACCTTGAAGACAAAATGGGGAGCCTCAGGTTGTCAGCAATGGACACTGCACCCAGCACATGGGGTGCAGTCATGAGTAACCCTGGACTGGGGGGACCTCCAGGCCTTCTCTGCATGTCGTGCACTCCCGGGTACCTGCAGGGGCAGCTTCAGGCGCAGGTCTTCCGCGTAGTAGCAGAGCACGGCCCAGGGGGCGCTGAGGAGGATGTAGTGCACAGCGCTGTCCTCATCCTGTACATGATGCTGTGGGGACCAGGGCTCTGTCAGAGCCCGAGGGTGCCCTGTGTACGTGTGCACATGTTTGCAGTGTGCATATAAGTGCATGTGTACACACATGGGTGCATGTTTGTATGGGTGCACATGTGGGTGAATATTTGTACACAGTGTGTGCGTGCACATGCATGTGTGCATACGTGTGTGCATGGGTGTGTGTGTGTGTCCATTCACACTTTTAGGAAAAGGCAGATGTTTCTGTAGCCATGTTAACAACCAACCAGCCATGGTTTTAAAACTATTTGATAAGTGACAGCGCCTCTGAAAGCCAAGCACAGGGTGCCTGCCCCTGTCTGGAAATCAGGCAATCAGCGACAGACAGAGGACACCAAGCTACTAGGGCCGATGCCAGCCATACCCCCTGTGATGAGCAAACCCTCCCCAAGGCTTGAGCCCAGAGTACTGCCCAAGCAGCCCTGCTCCCCTGACTCAAGTAGGCAATCACTTTAACACAGCAGAGTCACCTGCAGGTGCTCTATGCAGTGGCCTGGTAGCCGCTGCACCAGTGATGCAGGCGGGTCTCACATGCATGACGTCAGGAAGAGTCACACTGAACACAACTCCATCTTATCAAGTTCAAACAGAAACAAAGCTGCATTGTTTAGCAACGTAAAATGTGCTCACACGGTAAAGAAACGCAAGAACAAGATTGACATGAAGCTCAGGAGTGATTACTCTGGGGCTGGGGAAGACACACTGAACAGCAGAGCCTGCCCTTGGGGTCAGAAAGCAGGTCAGACAATGCAGGAGATGCACAGAGGGACCCGGGATGGGGGCAGTGATGAGATGGAACCAGAGCTCTGCATCCCAGTCCCCACTGCTCCAAGCCCCACTCACTGCCTGCCTGCCTCCCCTGCACACCGGCACCACACAGCTCCTTCCTGCTTCTCATACTCCCTGCAACTGAAGTGGGACCAACTACTGTAACTGACATCACACCCGTGAAAGGTCTGATGCATACCTTTAAGCACACAAGAGTTATAATTACACAAGAATTGTAATTACAAATGTCACTTCTAGACAGAAGCCCTTATGTTGGAGGTGAGACAATTGAATGGAGAAGATGGCTCCTGAGTTTTCTGGTGATTCTGAAGGGCTCTGGCTTCTGTGAGTGAGCTTGTGTGCTACGATGGGCTGATATTTTACCTGAGGGGAGGGCCATCCAGTACAACTCTGGGCTTGATTTGTTGTCATGCCCCCAAGCCTAGTGGATGCAGAGCCCAGGGCCCTGACCGCAACCAACCCCTGTACCTGGTCCACATGCAGGCCAGCCACACGCAGGTTATCCAGGAAGGTCTCCCGCCAGGCCCTGTGTGTGTCTCTCTTGTCCTGGGCGGCGCTGTCCTGCTGCTGACCCAGCCTCAGGTCTTCCTCCCAAACAAGGACAAAGTCTGCTGGGAAGTAACAGGGACAGAAGCAGGAGGACAGGCTCAGGGATGCCAGTCTCCCAGCTGGGACACCCAGGTACTGGGTGGGAAGTAGGAGTCAAGCACTTGGACACTTGGCCTACCCCTCTATACAAGAGGATGTGGTCATGGTCAAAGGGCCCACCACATATGATCTGAGAATCAGAGAGAGAGAGAGAGTAGGAAGAAGCACTTTTTAAAGAAAAATGGTCAAGAATTTTTAAATCGGCCGTTGATGTTTCTAGCTCTCTCTCTCCCTTCCTCTCTGTAAAAAATTAATAAATATATTTTTTTAAAAAAAAGAATTTTAAAATCTGATGAAAAAAAAATTGTGGAGAGCGGCTCCCAGGTGGTTAAGAAATATAGGCTGTGGAAGTGCAGCGAGTAAACAAAGCTTGATCAGGTGCATGTAATTGAGTAGATTTGAAACCCACGAGAACATTGTAAACATCTTGACCACGCCCTTACTTTGCCTCGTGGAATCTGGCTATGAAATAAAGACTCGGTTTGCAGGTCGTGATGCTGTCTCTCATCAGAGAGGGCAACGTCCCACCCAGCCCCAGCTTTCTTCTTTCGTCTGTCTTTTCTAATCCTTCACCACTGCCCCCCCGCCCCGCCCCAGGTTCACCCATGGTTGTGCTGGCATGGCACAAAAATCAATACAAAGAATAAAACCATCTCAGTGATCCCCAAGCAGGATAAAGAAACTCCAGCTAGAAAAACCATGGACAGCGTGTCTTTGCTGTGCACTACAGAGAAAGAGGAAAAAAACCAAACCATTATATTTCAGGGAACAATAAGAGTATGGACACCCAATTTCTCAACAGAAACCATGGAAGCCAAAGGACGATAGAATAGCATGTTTAAAGTGCTGGGGAAAATACGGAACACTGGAATTCTTATTCTGTAGAAATGTTCTTCAGAGATGAGGCTAAATGAAAACATCCTCAATCAAAATCTGGGAAATGAAGTTCAGTGCACCTGCTCTACAGGAAACATGGGAGGAAGTCCTTGAGGCCAAAACAATATTCTCAGATGGAAATGCAGATGAGCAAGAAGAATGAATACACTGCAAAGGGTAATCAGTTAAATGTGAAAGTAAAATGACCTATTAACAGAGGACATGATCTTGTATATAGATATTCCAAAGGAATTCACTACAGAAACTATTAGAACTAATAACAGGTTTGAGAAGGTGTTAGATACAAAATCAACATATAAATCTCAACTGTAGCCCTGACCAGTGTGGCTCAGTTGTTTGGAGTGTTGTTCATGCACTGAAGCATCATGGTTCAGTTCCTGGTCAGCACACATACCCAGGTTGTGGGTTCAATCCCCAGTGGGAGTGCATATGGGAGGCAACTGATCAATGTTTTTCTCTCACATCTATGCTTTTTTTTCTCTCTTTCTCCCTCTCCCTTCCTCTCTAAAATAAATTTTTTAAAAATCAATTATATTTCCATATATTAGTAATAAACAAGCCAAAAATGAAATAAAGAAAAACAATTCCATTTACAACAACAATTCCATATAGTACAGCACCAAAAAAAGGAACAAATTAAAAAAATGTGCGAGAATTATACATTGAAAACTACCTAATGTTGAAATACATTGAAGACAAGTTAAATAAATGTGAAGCATCCCTTGTGCATAAGTTGCATGAGAAGAAGACAAGCTGGCCAGGATAGCAAACTGATTTACAGGCTTAATTCCTATCAAACCCACAACTGGATCCCACCCCCCACCCCCAGAAATTTATAAGTTTGAACTTCCTGTGGAAACACATGAGATCCAGAATATTGAAAAAAGAACAGAGTTGGCCTCACCGGTATTGCTCAGTGGTTGAGCATTGACCCATGAACCAAGAGGTCACAGTTTGACTCCCAGTCAGACAGAGCACATGCCTGGGTTGTGGGCTCCATCCCCAGTGTAGGGCATGCAGGAGGCAGCCAATCAATGATTCTCTCTCATCATTGATGTTTCAATGTCTTCCTCTCCTTTCCTCTCTGAAATCAGTAAAAATATATTTAAAAAAGAATGAAATGATAATAAGACTCAGGAGAAAATATAGAGATAAATCCTCATGACCTGGATTCTTAGATACGACACCAAAAGCACAGCAATAAAAGAGAAGATGGACTTTGTCAAAATGAACAACCTATATGCTTCAAAGGACAGTGGCAGGAAAGTAAAAAGGCAACCCACAGAATGGAAGAAAAACATACTTGTAAATAGTGTTCTGTTAGGGGTCTTGTATCCAGAATACATAAAGAACTTTTACAACTTTATAAGAAGGCAAGGAACCCAATTTTAAAACGGGCGAAGATTTTGAATAGACATTTCTCTAAAGAAGGCATACAAATGGCCAATAAGCCGATGAAGAGATGCTCAATATCCTGAGTCATTAGGAAATTACAAACATGAGCCACATAGAGATGCCATTCACACCCACTGGGATGACTGTCATCAAGACAGACAGTAAGCGCTGGACGGGACGTGGAGACACTGGAAGCCTTGCACATTGCTGATGGTTTGTAAAAGGGGCTGTCACTTTGTAAAACAGTTTGGCAGCTCTTCAAAATGTTAAACATTGAGTCAGCATGCGACCTGGCAATTCCACTCAAAGATAAACACTTATGACTACGCAAAATCGTGTTCGGGAGTGTCCACCAAGACGTTATCACAATAGCCCCCACTCCCCTCAATGGAGACAACCTAAATGTTCATTGTCAATTCTTTTGGGTCTCTCCAGAAGTGGGGTTGCTGGGCCACATGGTGTCTCTATGTTTAAATTTTTTAAAATATATTTTATTGATTTTTTACAGAGAGGAAGGGAGAGGGATAGGGAGTCAGAAACATCGATGACAGAGAAACATTGATCAGGTGCCTCCTGCATACCCCCCACTGGGGATGTGCCTGCAACCAAGGTACATGCCCTTGACCAGAATCGAACCTGGGACCCCTCAGTCCGCAGGTGGATGCTCCATCCACTGAGCCAAACCGGTTAGGGCATAATATTTTGAGGAACCTCCATACTGTTCCCAACAGGGGCTGCACCATTTCACATTCCCACTAGCAGTGCACAGGGTTCTAATTTATCTGCATCCTTACCAACACTTGGTATTTCCTGTTTTTGTCGTTGTTGTAAGTGGGTGGGGGGTGAGGGTACATTAACAAGGATCTTTGCTGCATGGAGGGCAGGGTCAGGTGGGTGCGCCCAGTGGGGGGCAGTCCTCTCAGAGATGATGGTGGCTTGGGGCAGACAGGAGCAGCGGGGGTGGGGTGAGGAGAAGGTGGAAAAGCTATGGGTACAACAGATAAGAATCTGAGGTGAGCCCTGGCTGGTGTGTTTTGGGCATTGTCCTGTGCACCAAAAGGTTGCTGGTTCGATTCCTGGTCAGGCACATGCCCCGGTTGTGGGCTTGATCCCCATTGGGGATGTGCAGGAGGCAGCTGATCGATACATCATTCTCACATCGATGTTTCTCTCTCTCTCTCTCTTCCTCTCCCTTCCCCTCTCTCTAAAAATCAATTAAAAATAAAAAGAATCTGAGCTGACCCCAAGCTGTCCTGAGTCCAGAGCAGGAGGGAGATGGGCCTCCACTCTGCCCTCTAGAGCTCTCTCAGCTCCAACCCCTCAGTAGGAACCCCCTTTCGTGCTGTGCCCTAGACCAGTGATGGTGAACCTTTTGAGCTCGGCGTGTCAGCATTTTGAAAAACCCTAACTTAACTCTGGTGCCGTGTCACATATAGAAATTTTTTGATATTTGCAACCATAGTAAAACAAAGACTTATGTTTTTGATATTTATTTTATATATTTAAATGTCATTTAACAAAGAAAAATCAACCAAAAAAATGAGTTCGCGTGTCACCTCTGACATGCGTGTCATAGGTTCGCCATCACTGCCCTAGACTGTGTTCTGCTCACCATGGGGCCCACACCCCATTTCCCAGCACAGCAATTGGCATCAGAGCTGGCTCAGGAGATAGTGCTGGGGTGGGGAGGGGCAGCCTGGTCACAGAGGATGGTGACCCAGACCTGCTGACCTTCTCCTACCACCTGGGGATGCCCCATCTGTGTTCCCACCCCCAGGACCAACACAGGAACAGCTGGCAGATACTGGGAAGGGCTCACCGATCTGGGGCTTGGCAGGGTTCCCCACCCTGCAAGTGGCCGCCTGGTGTCCATCGGGCTGGAAGGAAAGCACCTCACAGTGAGAACGCAACCCTACCCTGCCCTAGACAACCCAGGAACACGGAAGGCCGAATGGAGGGAGACACTACTGGGTGTGGGCAGGGGGCCCATAGGCACATCCAGGATGAGGCAGCCCACGTCCTTCCTGCCCCCCCCTGGCTTCTGTGCAGTAGACATGGGCTGTGGGCAAGGGTCAGGTTGCAGGCAGCATGGCCAGTACCCAGGGTGCCCACCCTGCTGGCTCCAGGGGCTAGCGGGGAGTTGGGCTGCCCTGTAAGTGGCCTGTGGATGGCCAGAGGTGGTCATGTGCCCAGAGGGTGGAATCCTGTTCTGGTGAATGAGGCCTTGTGTCCCCCATCCCCAGACACTGTGTTGAGGGGCAGCAGGAAGGGGCCCGTGTCTGCTCTTAGCTGTGGGGGTGGGATGGGCAGTGCCCGGAGCCAGACATGAAGCCCAGGACCAGGAATCCTCCCAACAGCCTCACTCAGGGTGTCTGTGACCCCTCCCCCCCGCCCCCAGGGCCAGGAATGGGAGTCCAATGTCCCCCTCTCTCTCCTCCATGCTGATGGGATCTGACCCTGCCCCCTTCTCCACCTGAGTGGCCTCATCTAGCCATCCCAGGGGTCAGCGAGGCAGGCAGCGACCTAACTGACACCTCCCTCTTCCCAGGCAACTTGGGGACACTGGAGGTCCATGCAACAGGTGAGGGCTTGGCGTCTCCAGGAAGCATCCACCCCAGGGGCTTGGGGCCAGCGCAAGCCATTGTCCCCAGAGTCCCTGTGTCCATTCTGGGCGTGGGGGCCCAGAGACCCTCCATGGCCTGAAGCCCAGGGCGGGGAGCCAAAGGGCTGTGCTGGGCCTCCTGTACCCGAGGTCCCTGGTGATGGAGAGTTACCTGTGAGGTGTTGGCTGTGCTTCCGTAAGTGTCCCCCTTCTCCATCCCTGGGGCCATGTCGATCAGGACAGCACTGTCCTCCTCGGGGGCCCGCCTCCGCAGCATCCCGCTCCTGCACCCGCCAGGACCAGGGTGGGTGCCAGAGTAAAGAGGGGCACATAAGATGTGGCTGCACCACCGCACAGCCCTCAGACCCCTGACCGGTGAGAACAGGCCCAGGGGCTGCAGGCAGGGCCAGGCCAGGCTGAGCCATCTGACCTGGGACCACGTGAAGACCCCAGAACTGGGCGAGGGAGCTGCCTCCTTGTCTGTCTGATGAGTACCCACCTCCCCCTCAGCCCTGCATGTGGGCTTGGAGCATGGGTACCCCTCTTCCTTCTGTTTGCCTGTGGAGGACAGACAATACCCTTTAACAGAGACAGGACCATGGCTCCTCCTCAGGGTCCTGGGCCTGGTCATGCTGAGTCTGCATTCTCCCCCTCCCCCCTTCTGGGTCCCTTTGTGGGGAGGACAGTCACCACAGTTCCAGTGGACAGGTTGGCAAAGTGGGGCGAAGAGTGAGAGCAGCCCTGTGGCCTAGAAGGGGATTGGAGTTGAGCCGGGGCTGGCGGTTCACACCAGCAGAACTGGTGTGGCCCTGAGTGGCATCACCAGGGTCACTGAGCTGGGAGGCTGTGGGTGGTGGAGACACGGGAGACCAGAGGGGACAGGGAGCAGTTCATCTAGTCCAGATAGACTGAGGCTGGAGGGGCAGACGTGGTGCCCACACCTCCTGACCCTGCCAGGTTCCAGATGCCCCAGAGCCAGTGTGGGTGTGGGGCATTCCTACTGCGTGAGCAGGCGGGGAGGGAGCCTCCTCAGTGCTCCGTTCAGAAGAGACAGAACAGAGGACGCCCCAAGCAAAAGACCAGGAGTAACCTGTTCTGTGGTGGGTTCATTGGACAGGTGGGAAAACTGAGGTCCCTAGGGTTGGGGTGCCCTGCACAAAGCCACTCTGAGCACCTGGTCCTTCTCATGACCCCCAGCCCTGTGCCAGGTCTTGGGGTGCCAGCCTCCCTGGAGAATCCACCCCTTGGAGCCCGGGTGGGTTGGGGTGCTCACCAGCCTCCCTAGAGTCCATCTGCCTACCTTCCTCCCTGTGCCCATGCGATGTAGAACAGTCCCCACCTGGCACAGTGGCTTCGTCCAGAAGAGGCCTCGGAGGTCATGGACCACTTCCAGCAAGAGCCCGGTCCGGGCAGCGAGTCTGGGCTGGTCCCTAGGGAGGACTAGGCGGGACCCTGTCCTAGTAGGCCTGCGCAGGCGGTGACGGCCACTCTGGTGCCCTCACTGAACTCAGCAAACGGGCAGGCAGGAGAGGTGCCTGGCACAGGGCTGGGCAAGGTCTCCCAGCTCCCGGACCCAGGACCTGCCTCTGTTTGCAAAAGGGGTGTGCTCTCAGATCTGCAAACAGGCAACGCATTTTCCTAGAGCCTGCACACCCGCATGCAAATGCTGCCGTCTGCTTTCTGCCCTATTTGCTTAGGGAGCTCAGTGCCCACCAGCTGCTGGCGTGGAGAGCAAAGGAGGGGTGGAATTCAGCTGGATGGCCACAGGTGGGCTCTTGTCATCCTCACCTGGTGCTGTGCCCATAGGGACATCAGGGGACCCAGGTTGCAGAACCAGCTCTGCTACTTCCTGGGTGTCAGGGCCCACCTGTAAGAGGGGATCCCAGCCCTCCTTCCCGTGGCCCTGCGCCTGTCTCCCGGGAGCCCATTCCCTGGTCCTCACAGCCTTCCTCACCAGGTGACTGAGCTGGAGGCTGTGTGGGAGGAGAACTGGAGGGCGAAGGGCTGTTGTGCTGTGTGCGCTCCTCTGCCTGTTGAAACCCCTGAATCAGACCCTTGCCTAGGCTGGAGTCCTGCTGGATTCCTGCACCCCTTCCAGAGAGCCCTGGAGGGGAGAGTCAGATCCCTGTGGCCGGGCTCTGTCCCTTGTGCCCAGCAGAGCCTGGATGGCAACTGGGATGCCCTGGGCCTGAGAGCAGTGGCACAGGGGTGTCTGTCAAGGGTCAAGCTTTCCGCACACAGACCCTGAGGTGGAATCCTGTGCAAGGGTTGGATTGAGGAGGGACTCGGCCCAAGAGTGGGAGGCAGGCTGTGAGGAAGGAGGTGGCCTCAGGCTGACCCCACCAAGCTTCTGCAGGGGAGGCGTGGGCCACCCCATGAAGAGGACAGCTCTAGGGGGCTCTCTGCTCTTGGTGGTAAAATGGCTCTGGTGGCCGCATGGCTGTTGGTCCAACAAGAGCAGCAGGGGGCAGGAAGTGGAGCCTGGAGGGACATATGCTTGGGGGACACCTAGATGAGGAATCATCTGGGTATAGTTTTCAATTTTTACTCTACAATATTTTATGGCTTGAAACTTTTTTCAAGTTGTGTTACTTTTGCAGTTGTGTGTGTGTGTGTGTGTGTGTTAGAGAGAGGGGGAGAGAGAGCGCGCGCTACAACCAGCAGAGGTGTCTCCTTGGGTCCCAAGCTCTAGGAAGAGCCCTGCCCAGGACTTGCTATATCAGCTTTATTTGAATATAACTTTTTATTTCCATTTATGTAACATTTAGAAATACATTTAATGGAAGTTAAAATGAAAAGCTTCCAATTACTGCAGCTTAAGAAAAAGACCTTCCCTTTGGTGTGAAGGCCTCCTGGGCCCTCTGCCCGGCCTTTTCCGGGCTGCTCTGTCAGTGTCTCCTCACCCCTTCCTTCCCTCCTCCCAGCGCCAGTCAGCCTCCTCCAGGGCTGCTCTGATCAGTTTGGCTGTTCCTCAGGGTCATCCCGCTCCAGCTAGATTCAGTGACTCCTCAGTGAGCACGCCCAACATGCTCTCGCCTTCTTCCCTCGCACACATCACCTTGTGCCCACATGATTAATTATGGTTGCCTGATCTGCTCCCCTCCTATGGACCTGACAGTGGGAGTGGCACAGAGTGGGGGGCTTTCCCTCTTTGTACCATCAATACTGCCCCCCACTGGCTTCTCTTTCCAACCCCACCCCCTCTCTAAAACTAGCCTCCTGCACTTTGTCTTTGGTTGTTTCAAAACTCAGAGAGGGTGCCCCAGTGCTCACGAGCACTCAGCCTGGATCCCCCGCCCACCCCATCCCGTCTATAAGAGTCCCTTCTGGAGCTGTCCTGTACCTCTCTAATGGAGATGCACTTCACGTGGCTGTGGCCTTGTCGGTCCCCAGCATGGGCACTAAGGGTATTTCCATTTGAGCGCAGGCGACCCAGGTGCATGTGGGGTCCTCTGTTCTAGCTAGCACTTCTTTTGCTCGTGGCCCTCTGGCTTCTCTTGCCCTCGCCTATTTCTATACAGATTCCTATCTCTTCTCTGATTTGGGGAAACTTCTTTACATGTAATATTAGGCTCTTGCCAGATTTAAACGCTGCAATGCCGCAATACCTATCTGCTATCTGTGGCCCATTCAAGGTGCTCTCTGTTCTACAGGAATTTTCATTTTTATGTTAAACCCCCATCAGCCCAGCTGGCGTAGCTCAGTGTTTGAGCATTGACCTATGAATCAGGAGGTTCCTGATCAGGGCACATGCCCAGGTTGTGGGCTTGGTCCCCAGTGGCGGGTATGCAGGAAGCAGCCAATCAGATTCTCTCATCATTGGTTTTTATTTCTCTCTCCCTTCCTGAAATTATATATATTAAAAAACAACAACAAAAACACACCCTTGTCCAATGGTTGCACTTTGGGTTTTAAGGTCAGGGCTCTGCGCTCACAAATAGGTTTTCCCACATTTTCCCACTAACTTCCTGTTTTATTTTCACACTGAGGTTTTTCAGTCCTCTAAGTTGGCCCAGTGTGCACCCTGCCTGGCCCGAGCCAACCCCCGAGCCCAAGTCGGTGTCTGCCCGCTGACTGCTGTTACTGCAGGTCTGCAGTCAGTAGAATCCAGCAGGAAATCACCTCTACTGACATCTCCTCAAAGCTGACTGGACTTTTCCAAAGTTTCAATGTGGACCTTTTTTCTTCCGTATAAATTTTAAAGTTTAATGAATTTCTTTAAAAATCAGGTGGGATTTTAATTAAGATTGTGCTGGATTTATAGCACGTTTCCCTTCAACCTTTTTTGTATAACTTTCAAATGTGAAAGAACAGACGCTGGACTTCAATCTGTGACCCAGTCTGAGTCTCCCCTCCACCCCAGGGCTTCCTTGTCTTTTTTGTCCCCAAGAGGATACAAGGCTGGACAGACTGACAGCCTCACCTCTGCCCCCCACCCCCCTTGAATCTCCTCCCTGTCCTCTTTGCTGGAAGATTTGGATTTTTCCTAGTTGTGAGTTGGCTGTTTCATAAATGATTTCTGTTCTATTAGAGGTTACTTTTAATTTCTCTCTTTCCCTATAAACTTTATTGCTCCCTTTTCTACCCCAAGGTGAGCATTCCTCCTTTTTCAGTTCCTCACTTGGAGTATGTCCTTTTTGGGGTGGAATAACTTTTTTCAACACAGGCACCCCAATCCTGAACCCTCGTGTCTAAACACATCTCTTTTGGCTGCGGGCAGAGTGCTGGGTCACCATGCCAAGGGGCCCCGTCCTACCCACCCTTTCCTTTCGAGGAGCTTGCTCTTCAATAGGCGCTCACGGTCAGGTTGCATGGTTGATTTTGGCCAAGATTAAAATCAGGATTTGGACATGGCCTTCACCTTAGGGCAACCACTGCCATGCTTATGGCTTCCCTGGCCATGGACCACCGCTGCCACGAAGGCACCAATACGCTCCCAGCTCCCAGGGCCGCCTGCGCACAGCGGTGTCACAGCACCTAGGGCAGTGCTGGCCAGGAGGGCACTCCGACAGTCACATGGTCTGCCCTGGAGAGCTGTGGCTACTGAGCACTTGGGATGTGCCGAGCACAACCGAGAAACTGAATTTTTAATTCCACTTTATTTAAACGAAGTTAACTGTGAACCGAATCAGCCATGAGTAGCAGCACGTGGCTCCCATACTGGACAGGGCATCTCTGAAGAGTGGGGAGCGAGGGACCTGTGGTGACTGTGTGTGGGTCCTCATTCTGCAGAGGAGAAATCTGAGACCCCGAGGATGAATCAGACCCCTGGGGCTGTTGAGGTAAATTTTATAAAACACGAGTCAACACGATGATGGGGTCAGACTGGGAGACAATGTTGTAGGTGGTCAGAGGTGAGCTCTTTGCAGAGTCTTTGAGGAGCCTCACGTGGGTTTACCATCTGTCAGTGGCAACATGACCTCAAAGGGCCACAGGGGCAGGGGGAACAGGAAGATCGGGGCCTGCACACGACATTGCTTTTTAAGAGAGCTGAGGGCCACAGCACGTAGGGCTGAGCCACCCTTTACGCAGTTTTGTTTTAAAATATCATTTTTAAAACACTGGCATCACTGGTCTAAAAGACTAGAAGCTCTGGGCTGATAGGCTTCAGGCCACTGGGACGGCCCCTGAATGCCCACCCAGCAGCACACGGATGCGTGAGTGACCTCCCTCAGAGAGGACGCAGAGCAATGGGATACCGTGTGGTGCATGGAACAGCAATGCCTCCCAGAGTGTGACTGGCAGTACACACGGCAGTGATCACTCAGTGCCTTTTTATTGCCATTGGGTTGTGACCGTTGATAGTGATGATTTCAGGAGCAACGGGTGGATTAAAAAACCGTGGCCAGGAAGTTCTTTTGGAGAGAAAGAGCAAGTGAGGGCGAGGAGGGTCAGAACCTGACGAAGGTGGCGTCGATCTGCCGCACACTAGGCAGTGCCAACATCACCTTCCGTCGGTACTGTGGGTCCTTCTGCAGGGGGTTCCCCTCCAAGGATACTGTCTCCAGGTTCTTGGCTCCCTTCAACTCGTCCAGGTCGCTCCAGCTCTCGAGGAGATTGTCGTTCATCTGGGAGGACACACACAAACATGCACACACAGACTTAATGAGACAGAAAATGTGTATGTATTTACAAGCAACTGTTACTTCTCTTCTGTGAATTGCCTGTTTGCTTCTGCTCAGTGTTCAAATGGCAGCTCTGTACGGCTGTGTTTAATGTCAGGACATCACCTCATCGGATAGAGTCGAATAAGCACATTCTCACTGTCATGCAGGCGCCCTCCACCTGACTGCTCAGCTGTGAAATGGGCAACGCTGCCTGCCTCTCAGGCTGCCGTGATCGTCAGTCGGACGGAAAGCCGTCTGGACACCACAGCAGCTCTGTCTGTGCTTACTGTCTGTCTGGTGGTCTGAGGAACAGCATTCCTGTGTTCCGGGGCCAGGTGCTAGCCAATCTCCAGCAGTTGTGAGCCTGCCTGCCTCCCAGGTAGCCAGGGTGGCCCCTACCTGTCTCAGCAGCCCAGGTCCCATGTGCTGTCCCTTGGCAAGGCATGCAGAGGAACCCCATCTTCAGAAACTCTACTTAAGGGTCAGCTATGCCCCAAACCTGCCAGCACCCTCCCCTTTCGTGGTGCAGGTCTTGTCTCTGGTTGTTTGGTTTCTCTGTGTGGTTCCCTGGTCCCCCCAGAGCCAAATCCCCTCAGTGCAATGCACCCAGCCCTCCAGCAGCCACACCTTCCCTCAGGGTGCAGCACAGGGGCCTTGGGGTTCACGTTCCCTGTGTGCTCAGACCAGCACACCTACCACCATGGTCTGGTTGGGCATCCCTGACACACTCTGGTTCTACCCCAGGCCCAATGCTATAATACGGGGTGAGACACTTTTCACCGTGGGCCACCTGTGGTCTAGGGACATCTGGATATCCTTTTAAGGAGAGAAAAGGAAAGCCACCAGGACACTAGCAGGGTCCGCAGCATAGTCAGAGAAGGAAGAATCATGCTTTAGACTCCACACGCAACTTGGATTAGAGTGACTGCATCGAGTATATGGGCAGTGACCCCATAGGGCATGAGGTCGGGGACCAGCGGTACACATGCCTGGAACACGGATAGGATCCTGACACTGAGGACAACTTCACCATCATTTGCAACCTGTTTAGAGTGGTGTCCAGATGCCTGACATACGTTTACTCTTCCAACTGACGGCGACAGACTCCCTAAGTCACACCTGCAGCCATGAGACAGCTCGAGGCAGATTCCAGGGTGACCAGAGAGGACACATACCCATTTCCTCTGTGCTACAGGGCCCTCTGGTCACATGGCAATCCTCAGGTCCCCCTTCCATGTGCATCGCAATCACCCATTCCGCTGGTCGGGTATAGTGGGTCCAGAGAGCCGCATCTTTAACAAGTTCCTGGTGATGCTGATGCCACAGGCCCATACAATGACGCCACCAGCCTTCAACCTCTGTGCACGCCCATCTCAGCTCGCACCCCATCACCTGGGAGCCCCATCATCCTGAATGCTAGGCCTAGGGCTACAGGCCCCACACTCACTGACCACTTCACTCACCCACCCTAGAGGGTACTCAACTTACCCAGAATTCCAGCAGCTCTGTTAGATGGCTGATATTTTCAATCTTTTTAATTCTGTTTGCCGCAATGTCCAGCATCGTGAGTTTGTTCTAAATAAGGAAGTAAAGTTTGTCTTGGGTATACCTCAGTTCAACGGTGATTGCATGGCCATGAACATAGCTCAGAGCTGTGGGCCAGCTGCCCTCGCAGAACAGAGGCATGCTGACAGGATGATGACCCCTGCCCACTGCTTGCAGGTCCTCCCCACCCCTGCCCACTACACAGCATCCACACAACCACATCACCCAGCTCTCAGTATCACTGGGATATCAAACTGGTTCTGTTAGACCTGAGCCCGGAGCTCCCAGATGCCCATCCACAAGGACCCAGTGAGACGACAGTCCTGGAAAGGGCAGGGTAGCCCTTATTGAAAAGCAAAGGGAGGCCTGGCTCCTGGGGCTGTATGGGGCATGAGATTTAGTGCTTATCTCAAGGACCCCTCTGACACTAATACTTAGAATAGCATTTTTTCATTCAGGAAGGAGGAGCCTGGGCTGGTCCGAGGTAAGAAACTGCACAGGTGCAGGTGGAGGTGGTGGAGGGGGAAGTCAAGCCCATGCTCCTGCAGTAGGCTGTCCTGTCCAGGGAAAGGCCACCAGGAGCGGGGCAGGGGAAGCCTGGGCACTAAGGGAGGGGCTGGCTGGCTGGATTGCAGCCGATGGAAGAGAGGCGACGGGAGGAGTCTGGAGCCCAGCCCCGCAGAGGACAGTGCCCAGAGCTCTGACAGTGTGTGTTCCTCTGCCTCATCCCTCCATTTCTGACCGGGTCCCTTCTCCCATTCTCTTCGGTACCTTGGGACACTGACGCCAAGCCCTCCCAAGTTTAAGGGCAAGTTCAAGAATGTCCCAGTAAAATAAAATGACCCCCTGCCTGTCCCTAAAGCACACAGACAGCAGCTCTGCTGACTCAGAAGCACTCTGGCCTTGGTGTCCGACTCCTTGTGGGCCCAGCCCCACCTTCCCACACCCCATGTCCCACCTGGGGTGGAGCAGTGACAGCAGGAGCTGGGGTGCTCATGCTGGGCTCGTCATGTGTCCTTAGCCTGGTGAGTGCCTGTAGCACCCAGGGGGCTTCAGAGCAAACAGGGACTGGAGGGGGCCTGTGGGCAGCCCTTGAGTGCACGGTAGGCACATGGCAGGGACAGGCCGGGTCCATGTTCCTGAGGGTGGGTCTCTCCAGCCATGCCCATGTTTTGCAATTCTCAGTGCAGGTGCAGAAACCAGCAGAGCTAAAGTAGCCCGACACATGGCAGATCTGATCTCTGCGCAGTCTGAGCGCATAGGCTCAGCAGCAGAGCGGGGTCCTGGCTATCAGAACCGGCCCTGAAACTCTGAGGACAGGGAATCAGGTAGGCACTCAACACCTCAATTTTTCTCGGGAGCCGGACAATGTTTTGAGAGCAAACCAGTAAGAATCTCTCCCCATCCTGCAAAACAAAAGGAAGGTGGGGAGAGCAGGCACCAGAGGCTCGGACTTCCAGCAGAGGGACAGGTGTGAGAGCTAAGGCCAGACCAGCAGGAAGACGCAGTGCATGGAAGAAATAGCAGAGCAGAGGAGCACCAAGATGCTGGGAGCAGGACTGTTTGTGGTGTTGAGACAGGGGATTTGCCATTTCATTTACTGCCTTACCTCCCACCACAAAAATAAATGCCAGGTAAGTGAGGAGATAAAACTTAGAACTATAGACGAATATTTGACCTCTAGCTGATTACCAATCCTGAGGAAAAAACTCTTGATCAGGACCAATGTACAATCAGGTAACTACCTTTAGAGCCACAACTGCTTTGTTTCTGTTGTTTCAGAGGCCTAGGGAGTCCTAACCTCTTGACTCACCCATAGGCGGGGGCTCCTCAGCCTGGGCCTCCATGACCACAGCCTGCCAGCTCCGGTCCCATGGCCTCCATCCACAGTCTCACCTCTCGGAACTATGCTTCAATGTACAGAGGAAGGTAACTAAACTTCCACAAGCAAATTCTAACTCTCCCCAAATTTTATGTGGATGCTGGTGACATGAAATTCACAACATGGTTCCCCCGCAACATTACTCATGGTAACTAGGTCCAGGGGCTGAGGCAACGGTCGAAGGAGCCTTTCCTGACTAAAAGGTTGTTTGCAGTAGCAAGTGAACAGTCAGGTGACACTGCTGACAACGAAGAAAATGAAAGCAACCCCATAAAACTCAATGAGCAAAGTACATTATTTGCTTGAATGCTGCTCTGAGAAAAGCAGTTAGTCTGCAGGCAGCCTAGGCGGGCCAGGTTTCTGCAGGAGCTCCAGGGGAATCTGCCCCCCACACTCATTCACCTGCCTTTTTGCAGCTCCTGTGCTGGGCTGAGCAGGGCAGGCCAGGGGTGGGGTTGTGGGAGAGTGTGGACAGGCCTGTCCTTACCAGGGATGGTGAGGAGGAGGAAAGAATGTGCAGAAATGACTGGGAGAGCCACCCATCCTGGGCAGCTGAGATGAGCTGTCCGTATAGGCTGGGAAGTGCAGGTGAGGATTCTTATACTTTTCCTGGAAGAAAAGAAAGTAGTGCTGCCCAGATCGGTCACTTCAGGTGAGGAAGGAGGAAGGCGAGGCCCAAAGGGAAGTGAAGCATCAGAGCCTGGGTCATCAGCTCAGTTTGCTGAGTCAGTGTTGCTAGGCTACGATCCCAGGTGTTCTATCAACAGTAATGCGGGGGCCTGCTGGCCTCCGTAGTATGGGGGAGGGGAGTACATGAGCAGGTAGGGTTTGGATTTTACACCCTAGCAAATGCCTACAGTGCTGCTGGAGGCTGTGCAGTGAATACTGTCTCTGTGAGGCCCTCACTGCCTGTGCTGATAAGACACTGGCCGTGGTGGGAACACTGGTTTAGGGCTCACTCAGGGGACTTTCCTGCATTTCCTGTGAGAGGGGTCACTCTGTCTGCAGGACTGGAAGCTTCTCTATGAGAAATCTCCAGAGGCAGCATCTACTGAAGACCAGCCCCGGAGGCCCAAGTGTGCTGCTGGCCAGGTGCCTGCCACTCAAGCCCCATGCCCACCCGCCCAGATGGACAAGAGGATGTCTTACGTTGTTCTCCAGGCCTTCTATCACTTCGATGCCGTTGTGGCTGAGGTACAGCTCCCTCAGGTTTACCAGGCTCTGCAGACCCTCCATCTTGGTCAGCCTGTTGCTCTGGAAGGGAGAGCCGACAGCCGTCAGAATCATGTGTAGGGTGTGAGATAAGACAGCTTTTAGGAAAGGAGGTTTCTCTTGTTGGAGAATTTGGACAATTGGGCATTCCACTTAAAACAGGCCAGCATCGGGTTATGAAGAGAGAGAAAGATCAGCATCTCCAGTCGCTTGTCCTGGGCTACAATTCATGCATGAAGGTTGAAGGTTTTTATGCAAAGAATTTACTGTTTTTAGATGTACTCAGGGAGGGTCTAAAAATCAGATTAGTAGGTCAAATGTTAAGATCATTGAATATTTTAAAATTCTTCTTTCTTTCTTTCAGGATACGTTGTAACTCAAATTAAACTATGAGGCTCTCCCATACCCACTCCCTGTCACCAGAACACCCACCACATCCCACCTCCCTGGTCTGATTCCACTCATTGGCTTTTAACAGAAAAGGTCACGTGAGCCTAGCAATATTCAGGTGCTGACTCCCAAATGCAGAGTAGGACCCTCACCCACCATTGAGCTAAATATGCTAGGAACATTTGGAACAAATTTATCCTTCTGAAGACGCCCCTTTGCCTAAAAACCACCAGGGACTTTTACCAAGAAAAGGAACGTGACCCATAAAAGATGAAGTGTTTTATGGGTCATATGTTCACAGGAGCATGTGCACATATGAGACCTAATGCTTCAACTGCTCGTGATGCAGTGCTGATCATGGACATAGTGGGAGAGAAAACTGTGCCAAGTAGCAGCTCTGGCTGGCTGGGAGGCCACGCAGGCCCTGCTGGTTCAGGACAGGGGGTGGAGGTGAGGCAAGCTGGTTTGATACCTGTATACTGAGGACTGTCAGGTTGGAGAGTGCATCCAGGTTTTGAAGTTTAGTGATCTTGTTTTTCCCCAAAAACAAACTGTCCAAATTGGTTAATGTGTCGATATTTTCAATGGCCTGTAAAACGGACAGAGCAACAGTTTTCCCAGGGGAGGGGACAGCGCTCTCTGGACTTGGTCTTGGGGTGTCAGGCAAGTCTCAATCTGGAAACTTTCCAGTAAAATCTTACTTCAAAGTACAGAATGAAGAAACTGAGGATAGGCGGAGGGTCTGAGGCCTGTCTCTCAGGTTCACTTCTAACCTCCATGGACCAGATTTCGCAACTCCTCCCAGTTCTGAGCTGACATTGTTCTGTTAGTCTATGTGGGGTTTGTTATAATGCATCCCACCAGCCTCAGTCTCCCCAGAAGTGAGCCCCCACGCAGGATCCGCCTGTGCCCCTCTTCCTCGTTCCCACCCTCTTTTCTCGTCCTTCCTGCCAGGTGCTGAGCTCTGTGCATCGGCACACAGCAGGGTTTAATGAATGTGCAGTGACCAGATCTGTCTCCCTCCTCTGCTCAGTCAGGGCAGGCTAGCACGGTGGTGACCGCAGCAAGTGCACGAGGTGCAGCTCGTCTGCCCATTGCAGCAGGACTTGGCTGAGGGGTCTATGAGGATGGAGATTCAGGAGAGGGCACCCTTAACAGCTACTGCCTGCGGTAATTTGTGACAAGCCACCTCTCCTGGAACGTGCCACAGAGACATTTAATAAAATACTGATGTGACTGCTCTCTAGTTTTAAACGTATGGCTCTGCTGCCACATTACCGCCAACAGTGTCTGTCCTCACTACAGCCACCTCTTTGGTTTGTGTCCTGCCCAACTCTCAAGGGCCAAGCCGGACCGACAACTGTCAGCTGTAAGCTTCCAAAAGCCATACGGAGGGCTACTTTCCCCAGGGACAGAGGGGAAGAAATGCTCAAAGCTACCTGAGCTCAGCTGCTCAGCAAGGCCAGGGGGAAGCACAGGCTTCCTGTGGCCCTGGTGGAGGTCAGGTTGCTGTCAGTCCCTCTGCTCGGGACATGCTCATGTCAGGCAGGATTGTCAGAAACACAACCGAAGTGTTTGGGGCCGATCAGTTCACCTCAGGCAGAATGTACTGGTAACTGGGATGGTTTGCTAAGAGTTTAGCTCAGACTGGGATGGAGAGCAAGTGAAACCTACATGCAGCAGGCTAGGCCACTCCATTTGGGCACATATTCTTTTTTTTTTTTTTTTTTTTACACCAAGCAACCTATGTAACAAACATGGTTGCTTTTATTTCTGGGCACATATTCTTATTAATACTGACCCTAGTATTTTTTCTTAAAAATTAACTTTCGTTTTGGGGGGGAGAAATCACACCCTATGGAAAATATACATCCTGTACCCCCAGGCCATGCCCACACCTACCCGGATGCGGTTGGATCCCAGCTCCAGCATCTCCAGTTGACGTAAGTTGCTCAAGTTCTCAATTTTATTGATTTTATTGTTGACCAAGAAGAGCTTTTTCAGTTTTGTCAACTTGTCAACCCCTTCAATGTTTCTCAGTAGATTAAAAGAAATATCTAGAATCCTGGAATGAGCAAAACAATTATTTTTGAAGAGTACAGGCCATACAGAACTCAGAATATAACTGTCTCAAGGGCGGCATCCCACCTGGGAAACAGCCTCCAGAGCCCCCAGTGCCCGCTCACAGGACTGCACCGAGGGCAGACACCATGTCATCCCCTACTTACAGGACCAACCAGCAGCCTCTACCCAAAGGTTGATTTGCAGGCTGGGACTGGGCAAGCTGATGCCACCAATGGAGCCAGGAATGGGGCAGGACCCAATGGCAGAGGTGGCCTCTCCAGGGCAGACTGGTTCTGGGGACACTGGTCAGCCCCTGGCCATCCCTGGGGCTTGGGACTCACTCCAGCTCTGTTAGTGTGTCCAGATTCTCTATCTTCTTGATCTGGTTGTCATACAGGTCCAGTTCTCGGAGGCTGTGCAGCTCCTCCAGGTTCTCAATGCACTTAATTAGATTTTGACGGAGGCAGAGAGTCTGGAGGGTTGGGAAAAGGATACTTGACATAGGCAACAAGCAGGGAGGTCATGGGAAAGCCTTAAGGGGAAGGATGTGTTTTCTAGAAAGGGGCTGGCATGGGGAAGATGGAAGACACCCACAGGAAGGCTGCAGACAGGCCCTGCACCATGCAGACCTACTCAGTAAGGGAGGCTTTGGTCAGTTTGGGGTGTATATTGTTTCCTGGCAGAGTGAACCCTTGAACTCAGGTGAGTTCAGAACTGTACAGTCTGATGTGTGCTCAGCTGCAGGCAAGCCCTGAACTGAGACTCTGCAAGCAGCAGTGGGTCTGAGCCGCCTGCACTACTCCTCAAAACTGCCATGTTCAAGTCAAATATGCTCAATGTTGTTCCTGATGTAGGCGGCACCTCCTGCTGGACTGTGCCTGCCCCAGAGCTGAGTCTCAGTTATGGATTTACCTATACCCTGTGGGTGGGGCAAGCTCTGGACTATTACAAAATCACCTCACATGAAAGGACAGACCTCCTCTCACCTTCACTTTCTTCAGAACCTCAAATCCTTCAATTTTTCCAATGCGGTAGTGATTCAGGTCAATGTCCTGAAACAGAGAAGAAATTGAACTTAGCTGCAGGAAAGTGCCCAGAGCCCCACTTCCTAGGAGCCTTGCTTCCTAGAACAGGAGTTAAAAAGGGGCCTGATGGGGGGGTGGACATGAGGGTGGGGAGAATAGGTGAGCCAGTGCCACACAGGAGTCTGCAGCAGATAGGTGATAGGGACATAGAGGTGAACTTCAAGATGCTCATGGGTTTAGCTACGATTTATCATAGTTTTATGTAAAACTAACCCTCCAAATGAGCGGTATATAACATCTTCCTCTCACCCCCTAGCGCAAAACGAGGTGCAAGAAGGTACACCCAGCCAGGGCACTGCCAGAGGCTCCATGGTGGGTTATTATGCAACAGGTGCTTCTGCAGGCCTTGGATTATGACTGCTTTTCAGATGTGGATGTTAGCACCCCACATTTATAATGTAATCACTGGATCTAGTGATTGATGATTCAAAGGAGTTTCATTTGCCATAACGTGGCAAACAGAAATGGAATTCAAATCAGTGCTATTAAAAACAGTAAGAACCCAAGGAATCTGACCCACCCAAGGGAGGCTTAGACGACCTCCTCTAGGGGATCACTTACTAATCTGACACCTTCATAAAAGATAACCTGACGGTCAGAGTGGTCTGTCACTACGCCCCCTGAGGCTGGGTCGAGCAGGCGGCATTACCTCTGCATCTCTGTCCAGGGTAATGGTTTCCATATCCACAGGCAGCTCTTGTCCTGAAAAAGTGAGAGAGAGGAAAAAAGAGCCTACTCAGAGCCCACGTGGCAGAAGGCGGCAGCCAGCCTCGGTGAAGAGCTGGCACGCAGGCCTCCTGGGGCAGAGTGGACTCCAATGCAGAGGAGACACCAACAGGTGACATCTGGAGGATCTGGATGGTGCAAAGGGCTAAGTAACACCCTACTCCAGCCATGGTCACCTTTCCAGAATTCTGAGTTTCCTGAATTCAGCTATCGGCAAAGGTTTCCACACTTCCATCTGTACTGCATGGCATTCAGAGAAAGGAAATGTGGTCTGAGGCTGGCCACCAACCTCCCACTTCTGGTGACAACCAGAGCTGTGTAACTAGTAGGAGGACCCCCCCCGCCCCCCGCCCACTCCCAGTCTGTGGCAATATATCAGGCCATTTGACTATAGACCATGCTGGGTTTATCAGATGTTCTAGGATGTGCCTTTTATTGCTTTGGAAAGTGGCCCAGCAGCTACAAACACTTCTCTCTGCAAAGAGCACAAGAGAATGAAGCATGGCTCAGCAGACAGATCAGCCCTGTTGAATAATTTAAATACACTTGACTGGGAGGCTGGAAGCTGAACCAGCAGAGGACCTCCACCCTGTGGGCTGGGCCTCCTGGGATATCCGATGGCTGAGGAAGGCTGCAAGAACCACTCTTGCTGCAGAGTTCACAGTCTCAAATTAGCAGACCCCACCCCCCATCTTAATTTCATCTGACCCTATCTAGGCATTATGTTTAAAAGGGTTAAATTCTTAAAAAGAGTAACAGTAATTTCTTGATTTCACCAACTATCTTATGATTTCTTCTCCCACTGAGTGAGTTCTGCTTGAATTAGGATATGAAGGTCATATATTGAGGCCGAATGGCTTTTCTCTAAAGTCCCTTTTTGCTCCCCCAATGCTTTGCTGAAGAAGCCAGGCTGCCTGTCTTACGGAGCTTCTCTGGGTTGGACTGGAGCGTGTGGCTGCCATCTCATCTATTTCCTGTAAACTGGTTGTTACACTCTTGCCTGGCTCCCATTGCTGCCCCTTCCATTCAACAAAACTGTGTTTGCTTCTGCAGTGCAGCTTGCTTGCAGCTCCCAATCTCCTGAGGTCAGCCTGGCCCCTGCACTGGAGGTCTCAGAGGGGCGCACTTGACATAGGAACAGCTTAATCAGGAAGTACTGGCCCCACACTGGCTGAAATCACTTCCTAGTCTTTTCACTACACCTTTTCCATAATGATCAATAGTGGCTAGATTTAAAAAAATGTCTTATACAGTGTATCCAAAACTTTATGAGATATCACCAACCTAAGAATTAAATAAAAAAAGCTGAGCAAAACCAAGAGATATAACCAAGCTATCTGCCCCCCCCGCAGCCCCCAAGACAGCCTAAATTCACCATTAGGACCCAGGATGCTGCAGTGAGAGAGGCTATGCAATGAAGGCCAGATACTTGGGTCACTCAATATCCAAACCAGGATGCTTTAGAATAAAAGGGGCACCACAGTCAATCATGCTGGGCCACCAGATGGAAATTGGGGCTGTCCTGGGCTCCTCAAGCACATGTGGTTACATGGCTTAAAGGGGTTCTGTCTGTAATCTATCCAGCACAGGACGAGCCCCCAAAAGGTCAGCTTATCCTTTAAAACAAAGTTACTAGACTAGAACATCTTTCTGTATATATTCTGCACTGACCATATTTTGTGATTTCTTAGGGAAAATAAGTAAAAGGGAACAGTTGACATGTTTGGATTTGTTTTATTTGAACTTCAGATTTAAATATAGGTGAGAGCAAGTCCTACTTTCTCTAAGGACTTACAAAAATGTGTATTCCCAGAGAACTTCTAACCAGTTAGTAGTTTGGAGGAAAGAATGCTGGGTTTAGACAACCCGGCTCAAATCCAGCTGTTCCACTTTGGAGCCATGCGCCCTTAGGCTCACCGCAGCGAGCCTGGGAGAGGATGCCCATGACAGAGCTCCATCAACTCTCCAGTCCAGCACAAGCAGCAGGTGTTCATACGTGACGACAGGTGATGCTCCCACCTGCTTGGCTTTCTAGACCTCAGACAGACAGCAATGAAAGCTTTCACCATCACTCCCATGTACTTATTCCACCCACATCATCTCCAGAATATCGACTGCAGTTCTGAAATGTGACTGGTGCTTTTGTGGTAATCTTCTTTGCCTTAAAATTAGGTTGCCATAGTTACCAGTCATCTTCACTGGCACAGAGAGCACAATGTTATTTTAAAAATTTGTTTGGTTTTTATAAATTTGTTGTTTTTATTACTAGAAAGGTAAAATGTACGATTACTACCTTGAACATCCACAACTGTATATAAATCTAGAAAATGAAGAAGGTACAAGGCCTTCACCAACCTGCTGTTCAGTGACACCTTCAACAACAGCTTGAGGCATTTTCTCTGGAGCAGGTAAAACCACATATTAATAGCTTCTAAATAAAAACAAGATCTTAACATGCATACTTTTTGGAAATTTGTTTTCACCTAATAATATATCTTGGACAGCTTTTTTTCTGTTTATATGGTTTCTACTCTCATTCTTTTCAATGAAAGTTGATTTTCTAAGCAACAAACAAATGGGCTAAGATCATGGCTGGGGAGTGTGAAAAGCTACCATCATGGGCTAAGGACTTACTTCTCTTGTCTCCAAATTCATTTTGCTGTTCTTGTTATTCACTAAAACAACAGGAGGCCACTGGTACGTTTTCCACATAAAAGGATTTCCCTAACACCTGGGCAGTGAAGAAATCCATCCTCAGGCCTATAAAAATGGTGAAGAAGGACTCAAGAAATGACTTCTTTAAGACATTAGAAGTGCTATTCTGGCTCTAACTGGTTTGGCTCAGTGGATAGAGCATCAGCCTGCGGACTGAAGGGTCCCAGGTTTGATTCCAGTCAAGGGCACATGCCTGGGTTGCCCTTCCTCTCTGAAATCAATAAAGGTATATATTTAAAAAAAAAAAAGTGCTATTCTGAAAGCAGTTTGTATAACTATGGTAGGACATCAAAGCATAGTAGTCAGCCATAATGTTTACTGTAAATCTCATCCTGAACATATGGTTAATAAAACAATTTTCTGATTCTGTCCCAAATGACGCACTAGTACCAATATCATTATTAGTACTTGCCTTCAGTGGAATTAGAAAAGTTGCACTCTGCCTGCAAGTGCCAGCAGTCAGCTGGTTAGGGGAGTGCGCCTCAGACGGGCCCTACTCCTAGCCCATCGGGGGCCTCTGTGGCTGCACCAGCAGACCAACACAGTACAGTGGTCCTCCCCAGAATGACACACGCTGCCACCTTGGGAAGGGAGATAGACTGTGTGCAACACTGCCTGCACCCCTTTAGTGACCAAGGTTCTTAACTGGGCAGGTACCTGCTGGTTCTTCTTCCCCCCGTTCCTCTCCATCCTTCAGGCTGTGCTCGCTGAGGTCTGCCACTATCCGGCTGCTCTGCTTTTTCCCTTCTTCATCGCCCGATTCTTCAGACTCGACCCGCCTGTCAACTGAACCCACACAGATCAATGAGAATTCTCATCCACATCATGTTCTCTTTGAAGTACATAAAACAGACAGACATCCAGTTGCAAGTAAAAAATGCCATTTAAAAACATTTGTTGAATTCAGTTCAATGAACATTTGAGTGTCCTCCATATCCCAGGTACCATCTGTACAGTGGCAGGGAGATCTGGGGTTGGGAAGGGGGCAGGGAGGCCACATGGGCATGAAGGTGAGTATCATACTATTCCTCAAGGAGCTCATGAAGAGTCGCCAGGTGTTCTGAATGCTCTGGGATGTAGCGATTAAAAGTACTAGTGCTAAAATGCAGTGAAGCCTGGATATCCGCGTAGAGGGGACCATTGTGACCCTTCCACCACATACCTTCATCCATGCTCCACTATCCATTTGGTCAAGAAAACCAGCCCAGTTCACAGGCCCACGTTCTGAAAGAAATCAAGACTAACTCAAATCAGACTGTGGGCAGGGAGCTCTAATGAAAAAGGAGAAGACAGCCAATAGTGCTAACTGCCCCCCGTAAACGTCACAGATGCTAACCCTCAGGACATAGTGAGGCCAGCCAGCTCAAAGCTTTGAAGAGCTGGCAAGTAAATATTTTTTGAATTAATAATAAGGCAATGATGAAATGTGGCAGATTGGTAAAAATTCATTGGCAAAATTGTAAAATAATGTTCCTTTCTCCTAACTTTCTTCATGACCTCTTTGGAAGTTTGTCTAGAAGCCCCAACGCACTTAGAACTTACTTGGAATTATCAACCACACTGAAAGATTGCATGTTCCTGAGTCCAGCTTACCTATAGAGGGAAGGAAGTGCTTTTTCATTTTTGTATCTCCACTGGGCCTAGTAAGGAAGCGTCTAGGAAAGGACTGCTGGACAAAACATATCCCTATGAAATCCACCTCCAAAACCTCCACATCTGTTCCTCTTCCCTGCCCTTGGCAACTGCTTTGGCTCAGCTACTCATTACTTGTGGCCTGGGCTCATGCTGGGCCTCCTAACTAGTCTTTCTGTGATTTGTCTGACCCTGTCTAATCTATTCTCCATTGTCAGAGAACTTGATCTGAGTCTAAAATCCAAATCTGATCTTTGACTCCAAAAACTCCTAGAATGCCAATGGCTCTTCCCGAGTCTACATCTTGACCCTAGAAGCACAGCTTAGCAAGTTATTTCCTTTTCCAAGCCGCAGCCTTCAAATCTGCAGAAGGGAGCTAGTATAGTAACTATATCTTAGAGATGGTCAGAATTAAATTAGAGAAGGTACAGAAGCAGTTAGCTTTTAATAAATAAAAGCAGTAAACATTTAATAAATTAATTTCAGGTATTCCCTGCTTCCCAAAAGTTCACTTTATGCCACGTCATCTTTAAGAAAGAACTACATTAGTTTTTTCACTAATGAGAACTGTAAAGAGAATTTTCTCTTTCATGAAAAATGTGAAAAGCAAAAATAGCATCGTTTTGTTTTGCAATGAGCTCTAATAGAGGCGGTTTGAACTCCAACCAGCCAGTGTGGCACCATCAAGCTCCTTCCCCAGGGACTATACCCGGCATCTCAGCATCAAGATGCCATAGCTTTGAACTGTATCTGTGAGCGTCTAGGCTTCATCTTGATTCTGTGCATCCATTAGCAAGATGTGCCCTAAGATAACTGCTTCTTCACTTTATTCCATTTTGGCTTTGAAAGGTTTCATAGGAACATTTCACTTTCAGATACTGAGGAAACCTGCATTGCCAGGCACAAGCACTCTGTGGCCACGGATAAAGGAGAGCAAGTTCTACTGGGTCAAGATCTGGTGCGGCTCAGCACTGGGTGGGAGGGGCTTAGCTAATGAGGGGCAGCCAATGTGAAACCTGGGACTCTATTCTGAGGACTGCAGGGTATGGGACAGGATCAGCATGTGAGGTGACTTTCAGGCACTGGGGCAATGGGCTGGCTCAAGGTATTGGCAGCATAGCATGAATAGAAGAGGTTCTAAAATTTGGAGATTTTTATTTTTTTGTTAATCCTCACCTGAGGATATTTCTTTTCCCATTGATTTTTAGAGAGTGGAAGGAAGGGGTACAGAGAGAGAGAGAAAAAAAAAATCAATGTGAAAGGCACATCCATGGGTTGCCTCCTGCAGGTGTCCCCACCAGGGCCAGGAATCGAACCTGCAACAGAGGTACGTCCCCTTGACCAGAATTGAACCTGAGACCCTTCCAGTCCGAGAGTGGATGCTCTAACCACTGAGAAACCGGCTAGGGTGAATTTGGAAATTTTAGAGCCTGAACTCTCCCCACCTCATCCATGACTTTCTCTTGCCATCCTCAATCGCACTCTCTACCCTCAACCAAAATGAATGTCACCCTTGGTCAAACTCTCCTCCAAACAGGCCACATTCTTTCACACCCTTTGCCTTTGACTATGTGGTTTCTTTGGCCAGAAATGACCTTCGATCTTTCCTCCAACCTGGCTGAACCGTTAACGTTCAACTTGGAGCTGGCTTTGGTTGAGCAGCCATCACCCCCGAACATGCCAGCTCTTCCTTCACCGCCCCCGCCCCCTTCTTCCCTGGCATTTACATACAAAACAGATAGGAAACCTGCATTGCCAGGCACAAGCACTGTATCCTCCATGAAACCAGCACATAAGCACTCAAGAACAACTGACTCTCCAGTTGGCATATAACTACATGCATAGATACGCACATCATATTTTCAACTAAATGGAGAGTTGAATTTAATCTTTGCTTAACTGTGATAACTTTGTAAACAGGTACCGGTGTTCTGTAACAATCTCTCGGCTGCTTGTCACACTTCCCCACAACCCATTCACTTTGGAGAGGACTCTGCTCTGCCGCCGCCAGGATCACGAATGAACCAACTGAGGGCAGGTCCCACGACGCCCTGCCCGTTTCCCGATTAGTTGCAAGGGGACCGACTCCGCGGGTCAGGCCAGAGGTTCAGTGCGAGGCTCCAACCAGCTGGTGGGCGCTCGGGCTGCGAAACCACCGCGCCGTCAGCTCTCACTCATAGGCCCGGCTCACGCCGCCGTTGTCCCCTATGCCCGGGGTCCAGCACCTCCGGGGCTGCCGCGCCTTCCCGGCCACCCCCGCCCCCGAGCGGGC